GGCCACTTGGCCGCCCCCGCCGCGCCCTGCCGCCGGGCGGCCTCGGCCGCGCGGGGCCGGCTCGGGCGGCGGCCCGCTGCCGGGCTCGCGGGGCGGCGGCAGTGGGGACTGCGAGCGCGAGCGAGCGTGGCGAGCGGGGGAGCGGCCCCGCCGGCCATGGCGCTTGCGAGATGAGGGGCTTGCGCTTCTTTGCCTGCCTCTGTCCCTGCTCCTGCCCCTGCTCCTGCCCCTGCTGCTGCTCCTGCTGCTGCTCCTGCTGCCGTGCCGGCGCGACGGCCGCCGCAGGGGCTGGCGCGCCCGCTTCTGCTGCTGCTCCCGCTGCTCCTGCTCCCCCTGCTGCTTCCGTTCCTGCTCCTGCCTTGATGCAGCTGCCTTCGCAGCTGCCGCCGCGGCGGCCGCAGCTGCGGCGGCAGCTGCGATGGCCGCTGCCGTGCTGTCGACGGGGGCGGCCTTAAGCCGCGGCTTCGCAGGAAACGCCGGCCCCTTCCCCGCGCCGCCCGCGGCCGCTTTCCCGGGCTGCGGCGCTGCCGGCGCAGGGGCGGCGCCCGCGATCGCGAGCCGCGCACCACGCAGCGTCGACAGCAGCGAGGCGGGCTTCTTGGCCGCGGGCTGCGGGGCGGCCTTCGCGTTCGCGTCCTTTGGCTGGGCGGCCGCCGCTGCGGCCGCGTCCAGCTCGGCCTGCCGCTTCAGCAGCTGCTCCTGTATCCGCCGCTGCAGCTCGTTGAGCTCCGAAGGTGGCTGGGGCTGCACCGGGCCCCCGCTGGCGCCTGCATGCGGCGGTGGCGGCGGGGCCGGAGAGGCTGCCAGGGATGCCGCGGCGGGTGCGGCGGCGGGGCCGGCCGCTTCCGCTGGATTAGCTGGCGCCACGGCCGCGCTTACGGCCGCCGCATCGGGTGTGGCGGTCGCCGCGGCTGGCGGCGCCGCCCACGCCTCGGGGGGCTGGGTGCTGTACCCGTGCTGGTAATAGCCGCGGTGGGCGGCCGCGTACGCTGCATAATCGGCCCACTGCTGGCTGGCGGCGTAGGCTTCGTAGCCGGCGCCGGCATAGCCTGCAGAGGAGGGGCGCGAGGGCGGGGTCAGCCGCTCGTGCGTGCGGGCCACTGACGCGGGGACGCCGGCGGCGACCAGCGATCCGACTGTACCTGACGCCTGGTTGGGATCGAGACCTGTGGAAAACATCAAAGGTTAGGCCACTGCACGTGGGGAGCTACCAGCAGCACCAGCAGCACACAGTGCGTTCCTGAAACCCACGCTTGTGTGCTGCGCCGCCGGCAGAGGCAGCAGCAGAAACGCCATCAGCGGCATGGCCGCTTCGTGGCTAGCTGCTGGGCTACTGAGGCTGCAGCCAGCCCTGCATGGCATCACGACATTCTCATCAATGAGATGGAGCAGTGTCAAGGCCCGAGGAAGGCTCGGAAATGGACAAGGATGCAAGATCGATCGATAGCTCACCCCCATATGCTGCGGCATATCCCTGGTAGTATCCCGCTGCTGCAGACGCGTACAGCTCATAGCCGGGAGGCAGAGCCTGCGCGGGCTCCGACGCCGACGGATGACCGGGTGCGTCTGCTGTGCCACGCATCCTTGTATCATCAGCCTCTGCCCCATCTCTAGGTTTCAGGGCTTCCTGACCGCTGACGAGACCGTTCGTCTCGCCTGCTTGGTGATCTGTGGCCATCTTGTGGTGCGCTTATAGCATCATCATCGGAAACGCACAGCTTAACAACACCAACTTGCAAGTGCATCGTGGAATCAGGCGGTTGGCAACGGAGGTTCGAGTTACCAGGAAAACCGCCGCGGCTGGACTGTCTGCAGCCGCATCAGACAGCTACGACCTTTTGGCTGCGAGTAAAGAGCGTGTCCACCACGCCGCCGAGGCTGTCCATGATGTTCAACGCCGCGGGGAACACGGTGTCGCCCTCCTGCACATCCCAGACCTCCAAGCAGCCCGCTCCCTGGTCCAGTGTGCCGCTGAACTTCTTGTCCAGGATCATCTGGGCAGTTGCGGGTGGTGGTTGATGGTGGTGTGTGTTGTGTGGTTAACTGGCTGTCATGTGTGCGTGTAACCTAGTGTATGGCTTCAGGGTAGATTCAGTGAGTGCACACAAGCGTGCGTGAGGGTTGGACCCCATATGCGTTGGCACCAGAAGAGAGGAACCGATGCTGCGCACGATAGGCCGCGCCGCCGCGGTGAGGCCTATGATACCACCACGACCGCGGCCCTGCCCCACCCACCTGGCTGAGCTTGGCCTCCACCTCGGGCACCGGCAGCTTGATGAGGCCCGCCACGTGGGCAATCTCCACGCGGCTGAAGGGCTCGATGAGCCGCACCAGGTTCTGCTCCAGCAGGGTGCCGTACAGCGCCTGTAGATGTGCATGCGTGCGTGCGTGCGTGTGTTCGTGTGTGCGTGTGTGTGTGTGTGTGTGACCGCATTGAGGTGCACGCATGCGACAAGCAGCGCCAAACTTTGGCAATGACGCCGCATGCCTTCTCCAGGCACCTGCTGCGTCGGGCAGAAAAGCAGGGCGGGCCATCTTGCCGGCCCGCACATGCAGCTCAGAATTGTGGAGGTCTTGGCAAGGTGCGGCCAAGGTCCTGGTTGTACTAGAGTGTTTTCGGGCCCCTCACCCTGAGGTGTGCATGCACGATGGCGTCCCCCGCGAGCTCGTCCTTGTAGGCAGCCAGGGCGTCCTGGGT